GAGGATGGAAGGGTGCAGGACGGGTCCTAGGGAGAATGTGGGATAGATCCTGGGGTGCTGGGGAGGATGTGGGGGCCAGAGAGAATGGGAGGTGCAGGATGGGTCCTGGGGAGGATGCAGGATGGGTCCTGGGGAGGATGCAGGATGGGTCCTGGGGAGGATGCAGGATGGGTCCTGGGGAGGATGCAGGATGGGTCCTGGGGTGCTGGGGAGGATATGAGGTGCAGGACAGATCCTGGGGTGCTGGGGGAGGCAGGGGATGGATCCTGGAGAGTGTATGAGGGTGCACAATGAACCCTGGGGTGCTGGGGAGGTGGGAGGGTACAGGACAGATCCTGGGGTTCCATAGAGGACGTGGGACAGGTCCTGGCCATGACCCCCCCTCCCCTCCCTGCACAGGATCGCGAGCAGCAACAACCTGAACAAGTCAGAGAGTGACCAGGAGGACAACGACGACATCAACGACAACGACTGGTCCTACGGCTCCGAGAAGAAAGGTGGGGGGTCCCTGGTCCCCTCAGGGGTGGGGGATGTGTCCTGCCTGCCCTGTGGCCCTTGACCCCAAGTCCGGGGTGTGTGTGTGGGGGGGTTTCATCCATGGGGAAGGGGATGCCCTGGGCTTGCAAATCCACCAGAAAAGGTCAAATCTGTCCCTTCTCTGTCTCTCCCTGTAGCAAAGAAGAGGAAATCGGATAAGGTGAGGGGGCAGGGGGTGCTGCGGGGTGTGGGGACCATGGGGGGGACATGGGACACCCCTCAACACCCCCCTATTGTTGCAGAACCCCAACTCGCCCCGCAGGTCCAAGTCCCTGAAACACAAAAATGGTGAGGGGGCGGGGCTTAACTGCTGGGGGTGGGGCTTGTGCATTGGGGAGGGGCTTATGCTGCCTGGGGTGGGGCATCTGTGGGGCGGAGCATCGCAGGGGTGGGGCTTGGGGTGGGAGCAGGGTTTTGGGGTGGGGGGGCATTTGGGTGGGGGGATGTAAATGAGGGTGGAGTATTTTGCATGGGGGGCATAAAGTGGGGCAGGTATTTGGGGTGGGAGGGGCATTGGTGGGTGGGGCAGCTGCAGTGGGTGGGGCTTGTGGGGAGGTGGGGCTCTCACTGTGGTGGCAGTGGGAGGGGGCACCAGGGGTCCTTTGGGGGGCCAGACCACAGGCAGGACCCCCCTCATCCCCCCTCACCCCTCCTCTCTCCCAGGCGAGATCGGTGGGAACCCCGATCCCTTCAAGGTGAGCCCAGGAGAAACAGCACCTGGTCCCTCCTCTGCCCCCTCAGGGGGGTCCTGTCGCCCCCCTGGGAGGGTCCCCCCTGCTCCCCCCCCAGCCCTGACCCCACTCTCTGCCCCCCCAGTACAGCAACTCGGCAGGAATCAACTACGAGACGCTGGGCCCCGAGGAGCTGCGGACACTGCTCACCACGGTGTGGGACTGGGGGGCACAGGGGGCTCCAGAGGGATCTCATCCCTGGCCAGACAGGGGGCACGGGGGCTGGGACCCCTGGGATCTTTCCCAGCTCGGCTCCATCCCACTGGAGCTGGTTAGAGGCTGGAAACAGGGATGTACAGGGGGTCTGATCCTGGGGGATGTGGTGGCCCAGCGTGGTGGCTGCCCTCTCTGGGGGGATGGGACAGCACTGGGAGGTTGGGGGTCCCTAGGATTGGGGTCCCCAGGGCTGTGATAGTAGAGCACAGCCCAGGGGTCACTCACCTGTCCCCCCCCACTCACCTGTCCCTTCCCTCCCCAGCAATGCGGGGTCATCTCCGAGCACACCAAGAAGATGTGCACCAGGTGAGAGCATCCTGGGCTAGCATCCCTGTAGGGCTCGGGGGGGGCTTCGTGGGGGTCCCCAACATGCCTGGATGCCCACAGGGTGAGGGGGGACACCTGGCTGACCCCTGAATGCCATCCCCCAGGTCCCTGCGGTGTCCCCAGCACACGGATGAGCAGCGCAGGGCAGTCCGGGTTTACCTCCTCGGTCCCTCCGCGTAAGTGGGCACAGCTTCGGGGGTCCCCAGGGTCCTGGGGTCACTGTCCCGTGTGAACAGGGACTGGGGGGGGCTGCACGGGGTGTTCAGGGGGGGCTGGGGACAGGGAGGCCCCCGGGAAGGGATGGGAGGTTAGGGCTGGGGTTGGGATGTGCAGTGGTGGGGAGCTGGGCCGAGCTCGGGGCATCCCCTTGGCATTGGGGGGGGCTCTGTCCCCCCACCCCCCATGCCAGGGGCTGGGGACTCCCTGACACCTGTGCCCAGGTCCCTGCCCGAGGCAGAGGCCGGCGTGGAGAACGACAGCTTCGAGGTGGCCGAGAGCCAGGCCCTCATGAGCCGCCTGCAGTGGGACGGCTCCTCCGACATCTCCCCCTCCGACTCGGCCTCCTCCAAAGCCAGTGAGTGTTTGGGGGGCTGGGGGGAAAATCTAGGGGCACAGAGCCCTCCATGGGGCAAATCTGGGGCACAGACCCCTCCATGGGGCAAATCTGGGGCACAGACTCCTCCATGGGGCAGATACTGGGACATAAAATCCTCCATGGGGCAAATCTGGGCGCAGACACCCCTCTGAGTGGGAAATCCTGAGGAACAGACCCCTTCATGGAGGCAAATCCTGGGGTACAGAGCCCTCTGCAGGGCAAATTCTGGGGGACAGACCCCTTTGAGGGGCAAAGCTTGGGGCACAGACCCCTCTGTGGGGGCAAAACTGGCTCTTCTGAGGATGAACACACCGTGGCTCCAAAGCCTGGAGCATCTGGGACATCTTGTCACCCACCATCCCAGGGTGGGGGAAATGTTTTGGGGTACATTGTCCTGGGTGTGGATTGGTGATGTGGGGGATCCTCTCTGTTTTGGGGGGCCCATCTCCTCCCTGACACCCCCATTTCTTCCTTTTTCCCCCTTTCCCAGGTACAAACAACTCCGAGTCCCGCAAGACCAAGAAGAAGAAGCCCCACCTGGGGCTGGTGAGTGGTGCCCCAGGGCTCGGCTCCAGCAAGAAGAAGAAGCCCAAGCCCCCCGCCCCCCACACCCCCAGCATCTACGACGACATCAACTGAGCCCCCCAGAGCTGGGGGGGGCCAGGACGGACAGACGGACGGCCACGGGCCGGGGCAGCCCCCCCAGAGCCCCCTGGGTTGGACACAAAGCGGGTACCTGGGGCACGGAGGACTCGGCCGTCGCTGGAGCGGGGCTGGATCTGGGGAGCCCCCACCAGTGCCCCCCTTCCTCCCTGCCTGCCCCAGTGCCTCTATTTATTCTGTGACAGTTTTTGTACGTGGGGCTCCCGTTGGGGCACTGAGGGGGCGCCTGGCTCGGACATGGGGATATGACCACCCCCTTCCCCTCCCCAGTGCCCCCCAAACCCAGCTGTGCCCCCTCCCACACCCGCTCCTCACTTACCCCAGCGGGGTGGGGGGCACCTGAACCCCCCGGGCAGGTCCAGGCCTGGGTGAGGGGGGTGTGGATCCCCTCTGCTGCAGGGTTTTGGGGTGAGCCCCTCCCCGGGCTGCCCCCCCATCCCTGCCCCGGGCTGGCTCTCGCTGGTCGGGCTGGCTCAGGGGTGGGGGGCACGCTGGAGGGGGGTGTTTCCCACTCAGAGGACAAGTGGGGACACCCCAGTGCCCCAGAGGACAAGTGGGGACACCCCCGTGCCCCAAATCTCTTCAGCTGGGGGGGCCTGGCAGTGCCCTCACAGGGGGCTTCGGGGGGGCTGCATGCTGCATCCTTCGTGTTTGGGGCTGTTTGGGGGGGCTCTGGAGGTGGGGGGGTAGCTGCTGTGACCGTCTCTGTGCTGAACTGTGTGGGGAGGGGGGCCCCAACCTGCCAGGGACAGCCTGGGGGGGCTGAGAGTGGAGCAAAATGGGGGGGGGGGTAGGCACAGCACAGTCTGGCTTCAAGGCAGAGCCCCCCCACCTCATCCCCCCAGGGCAGCTCTGTTGTTCCGCTCCCCGCATGCCCGGGGACCTGCTGCTGCAGTCAGGGGGGTCATCGGGGACCCCCCACCAGCTCTGGCTGGTGTTTGCACTCCCACAGGCTCTGCTTTTGGCTGGGGGGCCCGGGACCAGCACCCTGCTGTGTGGGCTGGGGGGGGGACAGGTCCCTCTGGCTGGATCCAGGTCACCCCCAGCCTCACGATAACGCCCCAGCCCGAGCTGTTCTCCATCACAGGGGCTGCATCAGGGACAGGGTTGGTTCTGTCCCCTCTGTTGTACCCCCCATGGCTGTCTGACCCCCCCAGCCCCCGTGTCCCTGGTGGGGGGACTGTGTCTGTCCCCCCACCCCAGTGCCCTGGCTCGTCCTCTCGGTGGGGCTCACAAATTATGGTGCTCTCGACTCTGGATTCACTATTGTTTTCAAACTGCTGCTAAAGGCTGGGCTGGGGGGGTCCCACAGAGCCCTGGGCACCCCAAAACGCTGCGGGGGGGCCCCTCCTCACTGCATGGGGACCCTGGTGTGGCTTTGGGGCTGGGGGGGCCTGGCCACCGGAGCACACCGAGCTGGCCTTAGTGTGCCCTGGGGCCTGCAGATGGGGGTGTGGGCACCCAAAAACACAGGGGGTCACCCTGAGCCCCCCCAGCTGCTTGGGGAGGGCACAGTGAGCTGGGGTCTTGAGGGGGGGGAACAGCTTGAGCCCCTCTGGCTGCGGGAGAGGCGCTGCAAATTTGGGGTCCAAGGGGTGTAACGGGGCTTGGGGGGGGGTGGATGTGCCCTGTGACCCCCCCAGGTCAGTGTCCTCACCCCCCTGCCCCCAGTGTTTCTGCGTGTCCCCCCTCCCGGGGGGAGCTGAGCCCTTGTGAGGTCTGTGTGTCCCGTGAGTGGGTTGTGGCTGCCCCTGTAAATAAAACTGCATCTTGACTTGGTATCCCTGGCATTAATTACGGCTGGTTAATTAAGCAGGGCTGTTATCCCCCCCCACCCCCGACCACCACTCCATTTACCGTGTGTGGGGCTGGATTTGTTTTTATAACCCCCCCCAAAAGCACGGGAAGGGGGGGAATAAGCAACCCCAGGGTGGGAAGGTGAGCGCTGGGGTGACTTAACACCCTTTTATTTGCTTTAAAAAGACCTTGGGAAGAAGCCACAGCCCATTCCAGTGCTGTCCCACTCCCCCAGAGCTGGGACTGGGAATGGGATGAATGGAGTTCTGAGGGGGGGGGGCACAGCCCCTTTTTGGGGGGATAAAATCTGGCAGCGAGACTGGGCCAAAGAGCCCCTGCCGTGCTGGCTCTGGTCACTGTAATGCCACAGGGACGGGGACAGTGGGGACAGGGACACTGGGGTGCCTCCCCAGCTCCTTCCCAACTCATCCAGACTGTCCATACACCCCGAAGGCCAGGAAGGTGACCAGGACGGTGACCCCGATGAGGGACACGGTGGCCGGGGTGGTGAAGAGCTGCCGGTAGTTGACGCGGAAATACCACCCGAGCGCCAGCACCACCATGACGGTGGGGACCATGAGGGTCCCCCCGCCCAGGGGCAGCCCCGGGGCCGCAGGGCCGGCGGGGACAGGGTCGGGCAGGGCGGGGGTGGCCGTGGTGGCTCCCCGGGAGCGGTGGCAGTGGATGACACAGTTGTCCGTGATGCGGAGCGAGCGCAGTGTCCGCGCCTGGTCCTGCAGCAGCTGCCCGCGGTAGATGAGCTTCATCTGGCTCTCCTGGCCCGCAAAGTATTTACTGTGGGAGGAGGGCAGAGGTTGAAGGTGGCAGAGAATGGGCTTGTGGACACACCTGGGGCTGATGGAAAACCCCCCTCATTGTAAAACGGGGAGGGGACAGCGCAGGGGAACAGCGATGGCACCGCCACCACGTGCCACCTTCTCTTTTAAACTTGTTTTAAATCCCCCCTCCTTGGTGTTTTTATAAGAACAAGATGGAAAAAACCCCTCTCCCGTTCTGCTGGGTGAGGGCTGTTTGCACTCGGGGGGGGCACAGGAGCTGAGGGGGGGTGGGCTGGCAGCCCGGCACCGCTCCCCACGATCCCTTTCCCTCGGGACTTACCTCTTGAGGACCCCCACGGTGTCCTCAGGCCGGGCCATCGCCACCTCCTCGGTGTCGTTGAGGAACTTGAGGCGGATCTTGATGAGTCCGGGGCACAGATCCCCCTCCCCGGGGGCGCGGGGCTCAGCCATCCCTTGGGACAAGCTCTGGACGTCCAGCAGCTGCTCCAGGCCGGGGTCG